CACTGAGGGTTCAGGTGTGAATCTGGAACCTTCAAAGGAGTAGACCAAAGCCAGGACCCCCGTGGGTCTGAGCATGAATCTAGGACTTCAGAGAAACTAGGCCTGAGCCAGGACCTCTGACACTCTGGGCGTGAATCTGGGACCTCTGAGGGAGTAGGCAGGAACCAGAGATCTCTGTGTGGCCAGGTATGAGTCTGGGACCTCAGAGGGTGTAGGCCTGAGCCAGGACTTCTGTGGGTTTGGGCGTTGGTCTGTGACATCAAAGGGTATAGGCAGGAACCAGAAACCTTTGTAGGTTGGAACGTGAGTCTGGAAACTCTGAGGAAGGAAGCCTGAGCCAGGTCCTCTGAGGGTTTGGGCACACCCTAGCCTGGGAACTCCTAGGTAGTAGACCAGAGTCAGAGACCTTTGAAGGACCAACTCCAAGACAGGAACTTCTGCACGAGGGAATCCAGACCAGGATTTACAGAAACAGGTCAAAGCCGGTAACCTAGACCAAAGTAAGCCTGGGACAGCAAACTCCAAGGGAGCAGAGCAAAGCACAGGAGCACTGAGCTGTCTCCAAAAACACAGAGTAACCAATGGGGTAACTATACCTGTGGCACTGACTGTACCAAAAGGAACAACCATCTGAGCTTTGGATTCACTGGCACCTAAAAGATTAATCAACAGAATCTCAGTCAGCCCCAACCACACCTATTAGAGGAAAAGATAAGTAGAAAAGGTAAGAACACACACAACACCACAAATAGCAACACAACACCAGTAAAACCTAAAGACCCTACAATAGCAAGACCTGAACAACCAAATATAGATGAAACAGAAGAAAATGACCTAAAAATAACTTCAGGAGAATGTTTGAAACTATTAAAGAGGCAATGAGAAATTCCCTTAATAAATGGAGGAAAAGACAAACAAAAAATTGGAAGACATCAGCAAATCCCTTAAAGAAAACTAAGAAAAAGCAATCAAACATAGGAAAGAAACTATTCAAGACTTGAAAACTGAAATAGAGACAATAAAGAAAACACAAGCTGAGGTAATTATAGAAACAGAAATGACTGTCCCATAGTCAGACTGATGACTATCTTGAATATCACCATAGAACCTTTGTCCAGCAACAGATGGAGATAGAGACAGAGACCCACATTGGAGCACTGGACTGAGCTCCCAAGGTCCAGTTGAAGAGCAGAAGGAGGGAGAAGATGAGAAAGGAAGTCAGGACAGCGAGGGGTTGATCTACCCATTGAGACAGTGTGCCTGATCTAATGGAAGCTCACCAAAGCCAGCTGGACTGGGACTGAATGAGCATGGGATCAAACTGGACTCTCTGAATGTGACTGACAATGGGGACTGACTGAGAAACCAATGATAATGGCACTGGGATTTATCTCTACTGCATGTACTGGCTGTTTGGGATCCTAGTCTACTTGGATGCACACCTTCCTAAGCCCGGGTAAAGGGGGGAGGGCCTTGAACTGCCCACAGGGCAGGGTACCCTGCCCTCTCTTAGGACTTGAGGGGGAGGGGGAGGGGGAAAGAAAGGGAAAGGAGGGAGGGGGAAGAGAATGGGAGAAGGGGAGGAAGTGGAAATTTTGAATGGTATTATTTATAAAGCTATTTAAAAAAAGAGAAAATGATCAGGAACCACAAATGCAAGTATTTACAGCAGAATACAAGAGATGGAAGAGAGACTCTCAAGCACTGAAGATATAATAGAGGAAATAGACTCATGAGTTAAAGAAAACATTAAATCTAACAGAACCTTAAACCAAAATATCCAGGAAATATTGGACACCATGAAAAGGCCAAATCTAAGAATAATAGAAGGTGAAGAAGTTCAACTCAAAAGCACAGAAAATATATTTAACAACATCATAGAAGAAAACTTTCCCAACCTAAAGAAAGATATGCCTATGAAGATGCAAGAAGCTTACAGAACACCAAATACACTGGATCCAAGAAAAAGTCCTCTCACCACATAATAATCAAAACACTAAACATACAAGTAAAGAAAGAATGTTAAGAGCTACAAAGGAATAAGGCCAAGTAACATATAAAGGCAGACCTATCAGAATTACACCTGACTTCTCATTGGAGACAATGAAAGCCAGAAGGTCGGGGTCAAGCATTATGCAGACATTAAGAAACCACGGATGCCAGCCCAGACTACTATACCCAGCAAAACTTTCAATCACCATAGAAGGATAAAACAAGAGATTAAATGACAAAACCAGATTTAACCAATACCTAGCCACAAGCCCAGTCCTACATAAAATACTAGAAGAAAAACTCCAACTCACAGAAATTGACTACACCAACAAAAACTCAGACAATTGATGGTCTCATAGCAGCAAATCCCAAAGAAGCACAAATCAACATCACCAACAATGAAAACTAAATTAACAGGAGATAGCAATAACTGGTCATTAATATCCCTTAATATAAATGGATTCAACTCACCTATAAAAAGGCACAGGCTAACAGACTTCAAACTCTATTACAGAGCTACAGTAATAAAAACAGCTTGGTATTGGCACAAAAACAGAGATGTTGACCAATGGAATCAAACAGAAGATCCAGATATTAATCCACAAGCCTATGAACACCTGATTTTCGACAAAGGAGCTAAAATTATACAATGGAAGAAAGAAAGAAAGAATCTTTAACAAATGGTGCTGGCATAACTGGATGTCAACCCGTAGAAGAATGAAAGTAGATCCATATCTATCACCATGCACAAAACTCAAGTCCAAATGGATTAAAGACCTCAATATTAATCTGACTACACTGAACCTGATAGAAGAGAAAGTGGGAAGTAGTCTATAACACATGGGCACAGGAGACCTCTTCCTACATAGAACCCCAGTAGCACAGACAATAAGAGCAACAATGAATAAATGGGACCTCCTGAAACTGAGAAGCTTCTGTAAAGCAAAGGACACTGTCATTAAGACAAAAAGCCAACCTACTGATTGGGAGAAGAACTTCACCAGACAAAGGTCTGATCTCCAAATATATAAGAACTCAAGAAATTAGACATTAAAACTCTAATTAACCCAATTAAAAAATGGGGTACTGAACTGAACAAAAAATTCTCAACAGAAGACTTTCAAATGGCCAAAAGACACTTAAGATCATGTCAACTTCCTTAGCGATCAGGAAAATGCAAATCAAAACAACTTTGAGATACAATCTTACACCTGTCAGAATAGCTAAAATCAAAAACACCAATGATAGCCTATGCTGGAGAGAATGTGAAGTAAGGGGAACACTCACCCATTGCTGTTGGGAATGCAAACTTGTGCAACCACTTTGGAAATCTGTATGGCAGTTTCTCAGGAAACTGAGAGTCAACCTACCTCAGGACGCAGCAATTCCACTCTTGGGAATATATCCAAGAGATACCCAATTATACTACCAATGTATTTGTTCAACTATGTTCATAGCAGCACTATTTGTAATAGCCAGAACCTGGAAACAACCTAGGTGCCCCTCAATAGACGAATGGATAAAGAAGGTTTGGCACATATACACTTTAAAGTTTTACTCGGCGGTAAAAAAAAAACAATGACATCTCGAATTTTGCATGCAAATGGATGAAAATAGAAAACACTTTGCTAAGTGAGATAACCCAGACCCCAAAAGAGGAATATGGTATGTACTCATTTATAAGTGGATTCTAGCCATAAATAAAGGACATTGAGCCTATAATTTGTGATCCTAGAGAAGCTAAACAAGAAGGTGAACCCAAAGAAAAACATATAGTTATCCTCCTGGATATTGGAAGTAGACTAGATTGCCAGGCAACAGTTTGGAGCACAGGGGTGGGGGTGGAGGTAAGGGGAGATGGGGAGAGAGAAGGGAGAAGGGGAGGATTGGGGAGAACTTGAGGGAATGGGATGGTTGGGATGGAGGAAGAGTGGATATGGGAGCAGGGAAGTAGATATCTTAATTAAGGGAGCCATTTTAGGGTTGGCAAGAGACTTGGCTCCAGAGGGGTTCCCAGGTGTTCAAGATGTCCCCAGCTTGTTCCTTGGGCAGCTGAGGAGAGGGTGCCTGAACTCGCCTTATCCTATAGCCACACTGTTAAATATCTTGCATATCACCATAGAACCTTCATCCAGCCATGGATGGAGATAGAGACAGAGACCCACATTGGAGCACTGGACTGAGCTCCCAAGGTCCAAATGAGGAGCAGAAGGAGGGAGAACATGAGCAAGGAAGTCAGGACCGTGAGGGGTGTGTCCACTCACTGAGATGATGGGACTGATCTAATGGGAGCTCACCAAGGCCAGCTGGACTGGGACTGATGGAGCATGTGATCAAACCGGACTCTCTGAATGTGGCTATCAATGAGGGCCAAGGACAATGGCACTGGGTTTTGATTCTACTGCATGGACTGGCTTTGTGAGAGCCTGGTCTGTTTGGATGCTCACCTTCCTAGACCTGGATGGAGGCGGGAGGACCTTGGACTTCCCATGGGGCAGGGAACCCTGACTGCTCTTAGAACTGGAGAGGGAGAAGGAGGGAGAGTGGGGGAGTGGGAGGGAAATGGGAGGGGAGGAGGTAGAAATTTTAAATAAATAAATAAATAAATAAATAAGTAAATAGAAAGAAAATAAATGCCAGCTTCTAGAAAAGTTTCATGTAAAAAAAAATAGAAAAGAAAGAAAGCTTTTGTATAAACACCAAAAACACAAAGGACAAAGAAACACTTTTAAGTTCTCATCAAAAGTTAATACTTTATTTCAAAGGACACCAGAAAGAAAGAAAAAGTCAAAGTAAATTGTAACAAAAGGAGTGGGTTGCTTTCCGTTGTCCAGCTCCCAGGCTAGTTTACAACTGAAATAATTACACGGAAACTGTATTCATTTAAACACTGCCTGGCCCATTACATCTAGCCTCTTCTTGGCTAACTCTCACATCTTAATTAACCCATTTCTAATAATCTGTATATCACCACGTGACTGTGGCTTACTGGGATGAGTCTAACTTACATCCGTCTCGGAGAGGAGAGCCATGGCGTCTGCCTGACTCTGCTTTCTTTCTCCCAGCATTCTGTTCAGTCTACTCCACCTATCTAAGCTACCGTCCTATCCAAAGGCCAAGGCAGTTTCTTTATTTGACCAATGAAAGTAGCATATAGACAGAAGACCCTCCTACACCAGTAAATAATGGAAGAAATTTTTTACAAATCATTTATCTGATTGGATATCTATATCCAGAATATATTTCACAACCCTTAGAATTTAAGCAATAAAGACAATAAATTTAATTGTTCAAATGGACAAACAATCTGAATACATATATGTCTAAAGAAGATTCACACAGGGCTGGAAATGTAGCTCAGTTGATGCTTTCCTACCACACACAAAGCCCTGGTTTCTATCCTCAGAATCACATAAATTGGGTGTGGTGGTGCACACCTGCAATCCCAGTACTTGGGAGGTATATGCAGGAGGATCACAAGTTTGAGATCATCATCTACTACAGCTAGTATTAAAGACCGGCCTAGAATACATGACGCTATAGCAAAAAAAAAAGGGGAAATATACAAGTAACCAATAAGAATATGAGGAGATCCTCAAAGCTAAGTATGGTGGCATACACCTATAATCCTAGGACCCAGGAGGCTGAGGTAGGAGTATTACTGTGAGTTAAGGGGAGCATAAGTTACATAGTGACTTCTAGACCAGTATGGGCTATACTATGAAACTCTGTCTCAAAACAACTAAGTGGGAGAAGAATGAAAAAAGTTCAATATTAGAAGTCATCTAGGGACTCCCTACAGTATGATCCAGGCATGGTGATGCATGCTTATAGTCCCAACACTTGGGAAGCTAAATCAAGACTATCAGTGCAAGTTCAAGCTTAGCCTAGTCTACAAAGAGGTGCCTTGTTCCAAAACCATTAAGCACAATGAGCTACCACTACACACCCTGTAAGCTAACTAAATTCAAAACATACAATAACAACTGTTAATAAGGATATGGAGAAATGAGAAGCTTCACATGGGTGGTAAGAATTCAGACACTATAGCAGCTTTGTAAAAGAGTCTGGGGGTTCCTCAAAAGGGTATCCACAGAGTTATAACATGATACAACTCTACTCCCATATATAATTTCAAAACATGTCCCCACAAAAACACACACAAATGTTCACAGCAGCAATATTCACAACAGTCAAAAGGGAAAACTAAAACGAACGTCCATCAATTGATGAATCAACAAATAAAATGTAGTATAGCCATACAATGGAATATGACTGGGTCATACAAAATACTAATATATGCTCCAACATAGATGAACCTTGAAAACATACTACCTGGAGTCGGTCAGTGACAAGTAGCTAAATATTGTATGACTGCATTTTTTCTTGTTTGTTGTTTTTCTTAAAACAGACGCTTGCTCTATATCCCCAGAAGGACTTGAAATCACTATGAACCTCAGATTAACCTCAAACTTGCAGTGATTCTTCTGCCTCAGCCATATGCTGAGATTATGATTTTACCATTTTCTCAATTTTATGATTTCATTTCTATGAGATGTCTCAAACAGGCAAATACATAGACACATAAAGAGTATCTGTGGCTGTCTAGGACAGTAGACTGGAGGTCATCACTAGGGACTATGAGAATTCTTGTGGAAGTGATGGGATTATTCTAGAATTGAGTAGTGGTCACAGCTGTCCAACTCTGTGACTACAGTAAAACCATTGGCTTGCATACTTCAAATGGGCAAGTTTTGTGGGCTATGGGTTACAACTCAAAACAACATAATTTTTAGTGGAAAAATGAGAAAAATATTTTAAATTGCATAGATGTTTCGAACTTGATTATGTCAAACAAATTAGTTCAACCTGATGATTGGGGAGTATGCCATCTTAATCATGTATGTGATTTATTAGATTAAAAATTCACCTCAGTCCAGGTGGCTTAATTCAGATTATTAAACTATCAATGTTTGTATGTTGGATGAAAGCCCAAAAGTAGAAAGCAATATGGTTAGAAACAAAAAGAGCTGGAAAGATTACAATTACTGCTCTAGCAAAGGAAACATATTAACTAGTGTGATGATAACATGCATTACTCTCGGCCTCACTGGGGAGAGTGGTAGATATTTATAATTAAAATATAATACGGGTACAGAAAGAAAACTGCAACCAAGCATATGTGAGATAGACCGTAGTACAAAGAACTAAGTTTAGTGGAAGAAAGTGAAAAATGGACCAAATGAGAATTTATATACTTGGGAACCTGCACACAATCTGTTTTGACTCTTAAATACAACCTCCCAATTAGATAGAGATTACTAAGTGGGAGCAGCCAACTTTTCCTGCAAACACTTCAGGCCCTGCTAACTCTCTGGTGTCTGCCACAATTACTCAACTCTGCTGCAATCATACAAAAGCAGCTGTGAGCAATATGGAAACAGATGAGTGTGGTTATGTTCCCATAATGCTTTGCAAATGGAAGCTGAAATCCAGATTTCATATAATTGGTACATGTCACAAATTACTTTTCTTTCAAAATTTAAGAACCACTTTAAGGGGCTGGAGAGATGGCTCAGAGGTTAAGAAAACTGGCTGCTCTTCCTGAGGACCCAGGTTCAATTCCCAGTCCCTACATGAGAGTTCACAAGTGTCTGTAACGCCAGTTCCAGGGGATCTGGCACCCTCACACTGACATATATGTAGGCAAAACATCAATGCACATAAAATAAAAATAAATTATTTTTTAAAACATCTTAAAACTATTTTTAAAAGAACCATTATAAGATGTAAAACCCACTCTTGATTCTTAGACCACTATGGAAAAATAAGAGGCAGATGAATTTGGCCCACAGACAGTATTTCGCCAACTCCTGAAAGAAGAATATTTTTAGATTTTCAGCAGAAGGAGCAACCAAGTCTTTTGCATGTTTTTTCTTGTTTTTATTAAGCTATACATTTTTCCCACTCCTCTCCCTTCCTCTCCTCTTCCCTTCTAGTCTCTCCCGTGACCTGCTCCCAGTTTATTTGAGATCTTGTCTTTTCTCTTTCCTAAGTGGATCCATGTACGTCTCTCTTAGGGTCCTCTTTGTTGTCTGTGTAGGTTCTCTGGGGTTGTGGACTGTAGGCTGGTTATCCTAGGAACAACCAAGTCTTAAAATGCATAAAACTCCTTACTCAAAAAAAATAAAAAAAAATTTAAAGAACTTACCCCAAAAAGCAAGGGTGTCTCCTCCAGGAAATACTGACAAAATATTTGTAAGAATTAATGAGTTAATACACAAAAGTCCTAAGAGTATGGCATACACAGGAAGCCAGTCAACCAATTTTCTGATGTTAATTTTGAGATATATTTATTTTTATTTTATGTATATGAATATTCTGTCTGTTTGTACATGTGCATACCATGTGCATGCTTAGTACCCCTGGAACAGAGATTATGGATGGTTGTGAACTACATGTAGGTGCCAAGAATTGAACTCAGGTCTTCTGCAGTGGCAGCAAGCACTCTTAACCACTGAGCCATCTCTCCAGCTACCCCATGTTCTGTTCTCTTTTTTTTGTTTTTGTTTTTCGAGATTGTGTTTCTCTATGCAAATGCCCTGGCTGTCCTAGAACTCACTTTGTAGACCAGGCTGGCCTCGAACTCACAGAGGTTCACCTGCCTCTGCCTCCCACATGCTGGGATTAAAGGCGTGTGCCAGCATGCCTGGCCCATGTTCTATATTCTTAAAAACAAAGCATTGTGTGTACTGACTGTAACAGAAAAGACAAAAGCAGTGATTCTGCCTCTGTCGTCATATGGTGCATATAAGAACTAGAGTTGCTGCTTTTAGTTGTAAAACTCCCATCTTTTTCATTTTCTCAAGAGGCTCTCTAAAATTCTCAAAACTATAGTACACTTTATTTCAGGACCAGGAAGCTATTGTTTATATATAAGACAAACTTCTAAAAGAAAGACAAGAAAATGGCAAGTTGTTTGCATGGTGCTACTCAAAGTATTTGCCCAAAGGATTTTTTTAAGAAAAAATTAAGATTAAGATGAGATTCCATCCTTGGCTACACATGTGAAGCCAAAACTAAAACCTTCATGGAGAACTGACCTTTCCGAAGGAGCTGTTCCAAGTCAGAAGCCACAGAAGTTACTGCTTGACAACATCTCAGAGTGCATCTGCCCCACCTGACCACTTCCTACTTCTTGGTTCAGAAGTGAAAAGTACTTAGACAGAACCCTGTGTTCTTAGAGAGGGCTTCTTCAATTTTTGCCACTGGTGACCCTTCTGCCCAAGACATTTTTAGATACCCCTAAGTATGTAGGCATATTAAATAGTATTATAACTTAAACATTCATTGGTAATAAATCACAAGTAAACTTAATTTAAAATAGTTATTTGATATACTTTTACCATTTGTTCAAGACAAAAGCAAATTTGCAAGCTAATGCAAATAGATATACTTGTTTGTTTTTACACAAAAATTAAATTCTGGAGGAATATTTGATACTTCAGGACACAGAGCACCTTAACACTTTACACAAATGATCATTGCCAATTCTGAGAATGCTGCTTCACATAAAAATGTAGTACAAAATGGAAACAGTATGACAAAGAAATTTCAGAAATTTTTAAAAATTCTGCCCCAATTGCAAGTCAAAATTCATTTGATGATTTTTTAATGCAATTCAAGGCAGCAATTCAATTTTTAAAATCATTCATTCATTCATGTGTGTGTGGGTGTGTATGTGTGTGTATGTTATCTCATGTAGCAGGATCGGTCTCTTAATTTGCTATGTAGTCAAGGATGACATGACTTTGAATTTCTGATCCTACTTCCTCTACTTCCCATGTCTTATGAATCTAGGCATGAGTCGCTGCTCCTTGATTAAAAGTCAAACATTCTAACACAATATAACCCAAAGATATACTAATTTGAAACTTACATGCCCAGTAATGGTAGTAAGAAAATATTTTTGAAAATCTTTGTTTTCCATAATTAAACTACTGTTTCTATAAACACAGAGCACTTTGTACTT